ACATATTATATTGTCCGCGAAAATGATAATGACCCGGAGGTCCATGAGAAAACACGCGAGGTTGGACAGGCAACCCTACTCCTTGCCACGTACGACCGGGGAATCGAAACCCCGCCACCCAACGCCCCAAATGACAGTTAGCGATTTTAGAATTAGAAACATTGTTGCAAAAGTAAACGACTACGGTCAGTAAAGCAGTCAAAAAAGGTTGTTTAGCCCAACCCAGATAGCGTTGACTTGACTCTACAACTTTGTTACAAATATACAGTGAACATAAACCTTAAAGTGCAATGCCATACGTTACAAATTTTAAGTGTAAAACATGCTAAAATAAGTTGCAACATAGTGTTTTCAGAACGATTTAGCGGCAAAGCTCATCCAAAAACATCAATTCGTTGTGGTTATGAATATTGGTTAAATTTGTTGTTTACATTTACACGGCTTATAACACCCAATTTTAATCGTGTTACTGGGTCTCATTCTAAAGAATTGCCTGTATTGCATCATTACTGGGTTCATTCTTATCTCGGTCGATGCTCTCTCACATTCAGTACTTTATGTAGCGTGTGTGGACACCCCCGAGCATCATGAATAGATTCAGTACGAACATACTTATGAAGGCGATACACGACATGGGTCCGTGGTCTCTCACATTCAGTACATTATGTAGCGTGTGTGGACACCCCTGAGGATCATGAATAGATTCAATACGAACATACTTATGAAGGCGATACACGACATGGGTCCGTGGTCTTTTTTAAAGCCTTATCAGATTGTCTATTTGAACACAAGGAGGCTTGAGACAAGAATTTGACAACACGGGCGAAATAATTAGAGTAATTTTATAACCAGATGATCCATATTATTACATTCGAAATCATTTTATTTTAACGTTGCTAAAGTCGGCGAATGGGCCATTATTATGTCGTGTAACACTTTTTGCAATAATTGGCTTTCATACGTTAACGAGAATCAGGTTACCACATGTAAATGCCTTGTTTAAAACAACAGACGCGTCTATTATGTCATCCAAAAATAGGAAGTTTCATGATTATGATTACGAAACAGCACACGACAAAATCATTGTCTGTTTGCAAAATAGTTCGTAATATGCCTTCTATTCACTAAATACCAACGTTTAGAGCTATTGAATATTTATTACTTGGAGTTTACATAATGCTCAATATGTTTACCACAACAGCTGTAACGTTTGTGTCCTGTGACTACAGAAATAACTATGAAGGTTAGCTGTTGGCCTCTGAAGCTACCCTAGTCAATAGCCCATGCTTGTAGATTCTCAAATCCAATTCCAAACAGCGTTATGTCTTGAAAACGCGTTTAAAAAGACAAAAAAACAACACAGACGCTAGGCTTTTCAATCCTCTTCCGTCCTCATTAGCCCAGTCCGAGCAGAACAGTAGGACGTTAAACCTTTTTTCATTTCAATCTAGAATATGCAAACCAGCAGAAATGTCCCTGCAAGCTCTGAAATCCATGTAAAAAAATCTTACTGGGTAAGTATTAAAAAATACCCAATTATTTATTATTAATTTTAATAAGGTGACGCGTTATTTAAAATAGTAATTTCCCAGAAATAATCCCTCAATGAGGATATGAATAAGGATATAATAATATATATGTTATCTTCCAATATAGGAATAATAACGATGTTGTGTACAGCATAGTTTCACCTTTCTTCAGTTTTCTTTAATGCACGATTTCTGTACGTCTCAATTCATTCTGATAGTATGACCTAAATGTATTTTTATGCAATGGCGTAGCCGAGATTTTTGTGGCTTATTATTAATTTTAATAAGGTGACGCGTTATGTCCCAATAAACAGTTCCAGAAAGCTAGAATTTGTTCCCATCGCGCTTGTTCTATTTCCATTTAGCCGTTGCTAGATTAGTCTGAAATTATCAAACCTTTAGGTACGTTATCTCCCTTCATCACAGACAAGCGTTACAAACACATAACGGGATAGATTCGTTTACGGTCGTTGAAAGCTTTTTTTTAGTTGAAAAACTCATTTAAAACCAAATAAAATCAACCTTACTAGCATAATGGAAGGACAGAAAAGTAAATTAGAAAGGTTTGGACTAAGATGTGAAGTGGATATAGCATAATCATATCGGAAAAGTGGAAAAAGTTCCAGCAACCTTGATATTGAACGAACTCTGAACTTTGTAACTCGATTATCACAGCTAGACATTTCAGTTGGAAATCGTGAGACATGGTATTCGCGAGGATATTTTCTATCTAGGAATCTGAGAGGTCTGGATAAATGTAGAGTATTACGTGAATTCCTTGATAAGATGTACGGAGTTAAAGAGAGATCAAGCCTTCTATTGGAAATGGTACCATACTGGCCCATACTGGAAGTCTTGCATCACATCGATTTCAGAATATGTCCAGCTATACACAACCTCTAGCCCCAATCGTTGTTTGTTATTCGTGAAATACCTATATGAACAATTGGAGTAGTTTTTTTTTCTTGTTTTTTTTTTTTACAAAAATCACAGAGTTCTGTCAATTCAGCTGAAAGTAACTGCAGTGGCGGCACGAGCTCCAACCAGCGGTGGGGGCTCCCCCAGAAATTTTTGAAAAACAGGCTGCCGGAAATTCAGTCTGGCAGTATTTCAGGTGCTGATCGTTGAGATAAAGTGTCAAACGAACGGACTTGCGACCCTCGAAGAAGCCCACTCACGAGCGCCAAAGTAGGGAGTCATTACGGAGGGTTTGGAGGTCCTCCCCCAAAAGATTTAGAAAAATAGACTGCCGTAAATGCTGTCTGACAGTATTCTGTCAGGCACCGATCGTCAAGATAAATAGAGCTGACCAGACACCGTCTGTCACCTTATCACTAGTTTATCCGACCCCAGGGAGGAAAGTGACAAATCAAATGAACGAACTTGCGAACCTCAACGAAACTCCCGAGCTCCTGGTACAGCCCATGTAATATTATATAAGTGATAAGACAAGTTAGAGTTATTAATTGACTATTTTTTAAAAAGATATGCTCCCTCGGGGAAATTATGATAGTGCTTTATAGATAGATAAACAGAAAATGTTTCCAGATTAAGTCATCTGATATCAATTCATGACACCATTTCTCATAAAGAATTGCCGAGATTAGTGATAGTTTTAGGTTCTACATATTAAAACTGTTGGAACTCTATAGATGTAACGTTTACTGAATCAACTTTGCTCAACAGCAATGTGTTTGTGATTTCTTAAATCTTAATAATCTTATGTTGTAATATTACTATACGTGTTTTCTAATAGAAAGCACACAAGCCCCCCGTCACCACTCACTATTAGTGAAGCTCCCCTTGTCCACATTTGGGCTAAATTTTGTTCCATGTGAAGCACCAGATGTAATAGACTTTAGAAATGATCAAGCGTGATTTGTTATCTAAGAGAAGATAAAATAAGAATGGTCCAGATTAGCATACATGACCTTAAATACACAAATAGGCAACGATTTAATTGTTAAAGATCCATTTTGGGGAATGTATCAAAATTACGACATGATATTTAAATGGGCGGGGTTTCCCCCACCCACCCACCAACCCACCAACCCACCACTCCCCCACCTTGTCTTTTGGCAGTTCAGAAATTTCAGATCTCCACTGAAGTGAAGTTCTGACAATTAGCGAGTGACCTCCCCAGGTAACTTAAAAAAATATCCGGGCTCGAGTAACTGCTATCCCAGACTTTGTAATCCAACTCGCTCTGACAAGTGGGCATTGATATTTCGTGAAAACCTTGTTATTAACATTATCTATTTGGATTAATGAGTTAAGATACATGTTGTTGATTTGCACACTTTTTGTCACAAATAACAAAACGTATATATACGTTGCTCGCCATTTTTCGAACTACGGGACATCGCACATAAAACAAATCTGTACTATGTTTGTTAAAATGTGTTTTCAATACGACAAACAGTCGAATATATATGCTGAAAATCCAGATACCCATTGAATAAAATTGATTTCAAATGCCAAGCTGATTAATGAATTATTTATTGTAGAACCGTTTATTGTGAATCATAATCCGTATTACCCGCGCAGTAAGTTAAGTTTGCTTATTGTGGAATGTTAATGAGAATATCATCATTGGTTTAACATCATGATTATGACCCAGTCAACAACGCGTTATATAAGCATTATGAAAAAAATAAATTGGCAATGTTGGTACATGCGAAACTATGCTGTACACAAGATCGTTATTATTCCTATATTGGAAGATAACACACTATTTTTCTTCAAAATATACGTTCATTTGATGTCTCCGGTATTGATCCCACAAATATTGATGGCTCATAATCATAGGCTGGGTGGATCGTTTAATCAAATGCGTAATAAGATTGATTTATGCATATAATTTCTAGGGATTAAATGTTCCGTTTCCCGGTATATCTATTTTGGGGTATCACTTTCTGGAGAGAACGTATATTATTATATCCTTATTCATATCCTCATTGAGGGATTATTTCTGGGAAATTACTATTTTAAATAATCGTATCATTTGGTACACAAACCAGACTTTTACTAAGAACGTAGAACGTAAATATAAATTATTTAGCGCCAAGTTTAATCCTTATGGTATGACATCCGGATTCAAGGACTATACTTGTATTAATAAACTTCTTTTATCAATCATGCCCCGTGCCCTAATAATAACTATAATGTCGTAATAGATTCTAATTACATATTACATACAACCAGTAGCGACTATAATGTCGTTATAGATAATAATTACATACAGTAGCGTAGTGAGGTTGGGGGGGGGGGGGGTCCACGGTGACAGTATATTAACAGCTCAGTCTTTATTATCTCATCGCTATCATACTCATTAGTAGTACCACTAGTGGCACCAGTGCGTGGATCGGACATTTGGATCCAGTTAAACTTCTTTTATCAGTCATGCCCCGTGCCCTAATAAATATACCGTCAGAAAATATAATGATTCTAGATCGAAATAAATAATCTTACCTGTGGGGGTCAAACTTGGCGTATTTTTTCCAGTCTTTGCGATTACTGATATATAATGTCATTAAACGCTTCACATAGTCCACATTCACCTTGTCGCTATCAAATACCTTGTGAAGTTCTTGAATTAATTCTTCCAGTGATTTTGGTCGTACAACTTTAGTGTGATCAGAATACGGTTCTTCGACTTCATGGGATTCGCATTCCATCGGTATGTTAGAACTTTCAATTTCCATGACTCCGTCTGAAATCTTCAATCTATTTTAAAAATCAGTGTACTGTTAAATTACAAACAGGAAGAATTTGTGAACGGCACGCAAGAAAACTTAATTATGTCCTGAATAAATTTTCATTCACCTTTGAAAATTTTCCACGGGTTTGATGTCTTCTGTTGTTATGGCGAGTATAATACAACTTTAACCACGTGTAAGCTTTACTGTTATGCCTACATGAACAATCAATGAGACAATAATTTGTATACAGCTCTGAAGCATTGAAAACGAAAACTCAGTTATAGTCCGTTTCTACAATCTGCCCTGTTCGTCTTTGCGATAAACTTTAGACCTATTTAAAGTGAGATAACCTGTTTTTATTGGGCACTATGGACTGCTGTTAGCGAAAATCTTTAACAATAAATGGACTCTCTTATCAGGAGCTAACCTTATAGTTATTTGAAGTCTTTCATCATTATTGAACATTTTTAATCTCTAGGTTAAAAAATTAAATTATCAATTGTGGCTTTTATCAGGGGTTAAATTACTTGCCTCTAATTAATTTCACACACTAAATCTAAGGCGAGTGTCAGGTGCGATAGCAAGTTTGGTGTTAATTTGCGTTCAGTTTACTTAATGTCAATTGTGCTTGATAACGATAACAAGATACATATCGAAACGTTATGCTTGTATAAACCTATCATTGTTGTCCCTTACAACGGTGTTAGTTCCGTCTAATAGGCTAATGCGACTATGTTTTAATGTCCTAGAAATGATAATTACATTATAAGATTTAATCAAAGTAAACAAAGGTGAAGAAACAATTGAAATGGGGTTTAACCTCCACTCAGCACTAGGTCATTTCTCGATTTAAGTACATGTTACTTCAATATTTTTGCTTAATAATTTTTGTTATCCATATCTAACGCGCATATATTAGGTAAATGAATTAACTTCCGATTGCATCATCCTTATTGAACAAGGGATGCTTATTAGTGTTCGGTAAGAATATTCGCTCGTCGAAGATAATATTCAATCACCATTTTCGAATATTTTCGAATATCTGCATTATTTATTTCTATTTGCTCTCAAATATTATTAAAGACTGCTTTCCTTGCCACATTTACATTCGAAGCTAACTTAGATTGCCTAGCTTGTAAGGGTGCTACCCTATGTAGGCGGGGTGGGGTGGCCGAATGGTTTGCGCGTGCGCGTTGTATCATAAGGTCTGTCATTGATTCAATGGTGTGGTATCGATTCCCCGGTTGTTCGCAACAAGGAGTGGGTTTCCTCCCATGCACTGCGAAAGACCCCTATGCGCAAGCGAATTATTGAAATAAAATTGAACCATATGTTAGTCCGGAAATGACCTAGTTTGTGTCGAGTGGACGTTACCCCACATCCCCACCCCGTCTCTCTCTCTCTCTCTCTCTCGCTGCTATGCCCAGACCTACGGTTTTCAGAGATCTCTCTCTCTCTGCTATGTAGGCCTACAGTCTTCAGAGATAGATCGTCTGTTCAGAGACAGTTATTCAATAGTTAGCTTTTTACCTCCTTTGCCTTTGGTTAGCCAGTTATATTTATTGCGCTCGGGTTTCTAAAAAAATAGATCACGCCTGATGCCGTATCACTTTAGTTACCCTGGTAACTAACTGTACGTTCACGCATGTCTGTAGAACAGCTATTGTCATAGGGTCAGGTCTAAACATTAAGGTCATCTGCAGATTTCGCCCGGTTACGAGATTTAAACAGGGTTAGGACACGTAATTGTTGCCGAGGCTCGTGACCTTGGCGAAAATCTGAAGTTGGTCTTAATATTTAGATCTAACCATTCTCTTGGGATCAGTGGTAAATCAGATAAAAAATTGAGTCCAACAAGGTTACTATTGGGGAATACCAACCCTAAAACCCATTTCAGAAGACATGCGGTCATGCTGGACCCAACTTGGGTCCAATTTATCTTTTACCGTTGTCTAAGCGCCAAGCCGCCAATCCTTTTCATACCGGCCGTTGCCGCCTACCAAACTGCTGTCTAGTCAATCGAAATTTCAATCTGCTTCGACTCAAACCCAGTACCGTACATTTGTTGGCAAAGAATCTGTCAAATGACTTGCATATACATGTATATTTATGCATGAATATAGTTTCACCCCCGTTTAACAAGTGCGTTGCTTTGTTTCAATATTTGCTTCCAGTTCAAGTTCATATGTGTTATAGCCTTAGTTGTTCTTATTTTCTTTGCGCTCAGTTTATATGTGTGAATTACGCCCTGGTCGACTACCTTCAAAATATCGGGTCTCGGCTGGCCATTCCTTTCAGTAGTTGTAATTATTTGAATACTATTCGAATACAAATTTCAAGACCCGTCGAATATTCGAATAATGTTTTATTCGAGTGTGTGGCTTCCTGAAAAAGTGAACAAGCGGCGCTTATTCGAGTTAGGTAAACCGTCAGAATAATCTTCGTGATATCTACCTTTATATAATTGAATAACTTGAGGATCTCTGCTTTGAAGGAAAGCCATTTGTAGTAATACCACTAAAACGCGAGGCTTTCGTCAGCGTCTATCTGGTCCATCAGCTGGCTATGCCCCCCTCTCCGTTATCAACTTCTACATTCTCTCCCATAACTCTTTTGGCAGTAACTTCAGTTTTGATTTTTTTGAAGATTTGTTCAGTTTTATTTGTATGAAAGGCCACACCATGACGAATATTGTTTGAATACTATGTGGACCAGAGTAGTCTTTTTTTTTTTAAAAAGATATAGGATAATCATTCAGAATAAATGTACTTAAATTCAGTCGCTTTTTGGAGAGAGAGGGAGAGAAATGGGGTTTAACGCCCACTCGACACAAACTAGGTAATTTCGGGACTAGCATCATATGTTTTTTATTTTATTTCAATAATTCGCTTGCGAGGCCTTATTATGATACAGCGCGCACATGCTAACCATTCGCCCCCCCCCCCCCAGTCGCTTTTTGGATTTTTGATCATGTTACTGCCAAGTCATTTTAAATATCCAACAGGCCCGTAACTGGGGGGGGGGGGGCAGGGGGGGGGGGGCGACTGCAAAAAGTTTCGCCCCCCCCCCCCCCCTTGAAAACACTGTCGACCATGAAAACATTAGACAATTCTACAGCACCCCTGTGAACACTCCCCCCCCCCCCCCCGTTGCTCTGAGCTAGTTACGGTCCTGACAAGCGTTCTTATGTCCATATCATCTTCTATCTTTAAACATCGGTTTCTTATGGGCAATTTGACATTTATTATCAAATATGATTATATAATTATTTTAATCCTAAGCTTGTATATACATGTAGATATGTTCTATATTTTTCTGTAACTTTCGTTGTGTGATGGGCACTAATATATTTTTTTAAGGGTTAAATTTCGGTTTACCGTGATTTGTCTATACTGTATACACAATCCATAGTGATTTTATAATTATATGGACACTCGTTCGCAATAGTTACTAGTCTGAGTGTGAAATACGTTCATTTAACGCCCCTGTCTCCCGTTTCACAGAGAAGCGAATATTCACCGTTGCGCAGTGTGTCCCTTTCTATCCAGGTGATGTTGCTGAATAACACTTGGTCTAACTCTTATGTTAGGTTTTTGTTGAATATTCATGGTATTTGATGCTGAATGATCAGAAGGTGACAGGCATGGATTAGGAACATCACGTACGTTACAGCCTATATGCCTAAATTCGTTTGACCGGAAAGAAAAAAAAAATTCAACCCCCTTCAATAATTGTACCAGATGATTGATTGTAACATGTTGGGATCTGATGGAATTCATTGCCTTAAACATTAGAACCATTGCCTCCTTAAATGCATTTAAATCTCAGCTAAAACGTTCCTGTTTACTGAAGCGTTCCATAGTTCAATAGAGAAAGCTTGAAGAGCGCAATAGAAACTTCTGTTTTAGTAATATCGCGCTAGAAAATGTCATAGGACAAGGAATAACATTGGCTTGACATTGAAAACTATCAAGGGGGTGCCGCGGTGACCCACTTAAGGGACTGGCTCAGTAACCTGGGGGGGGGGGGGGTACTAGGTTCGATTCCGGTGCTGGCTGTGTAATTTTCCAGCATGGTTTCAGCTTGTCAGTGGTAGGCCTATATTAGGGCAGGAGAGCCTTGAAATAAACAGCACCTAGCCCTTCGGGTGGTATGAAAAACCAAGGCCCCCTGCACGTAAAAGAGCCCTTTCAGATGGAATTCGATATAAGAGCAGGCCCATGGCACACTGTATGGCGTATGCCAGTTTTCACTAGCCCGGATGTAGCAGAAAAGTAGGACGTTAAACCCCGTTAACTTTCATGTTATTTCTTTTTCTATTTTGGAGGTTTTATTAGTCGAAGTCCTTTGGAAGCAGACCACCATTAAATTTCACCATCTCGGTACCCGTAGTTCGTCTATTTATAGCAATTCTCTCTGTGTCTCTTTTCTCCCCTTTGGCATGCCCATATCTGTTGATTTTTTGGTCTAGAATGGACGAAGGAGGTTTAAATTAACGTTTTCTGCCAGGTTTTGGTAAATATCCGTGATTTAGATGCGGAAAGATAACAGAGTTATCAGGTTGGCTTACCAGATATGTACGGCGAATAGTTACATGTTTTAAGTATGCATCTCCAAGTTTGTGTATCTCCAAATTTTGGTGGTCAACCTCATACAAATTTTGGTGCAAAGACATGACCATTTGTTTCTCTGTCTGTAGTGAAAAGCATTCAGAACAACGAAAATTTGGGGAAAAGTTGGAGTCGGGCAAATAGGCAAGAATTAACAATGAAGTCAATGGGGAAATTAATGGTGGTCTGTCTCCCTTTCATCTATTTACGGAGTTATCTCCCTTAAAGTGGGCGTTGATTGGTCCTGATTGTCATACATAATACGGGTATAAGATCAAAAGACTTATTGATTGTGACTATAACCGGAAAAGGAATTCAGAGCAAAAGATTGTTTTCGTGGAACAAGTCTGAATAAATGATATCTATCTGGTTTTAAAATTAAAGATGATAAGAGCTATTTTAGTCTTTAACAATCATGGAAAAGCGAGGATGACCAAATTTTACGAATACTATGTGAGTTTTGTTTCCCCATTCTTCTGGATTTCAGTGAACTCATCGTGAGACTGAGAATGGTTTATTTATGACTATTCAGACTCAACAAACAACTTTGAACTGCCTGAACCGTCGTAAATTTTAAACGGATTTCTTCTATTTATTATGCACAAACTACTTAATAACTGTTATTAAGAACTTGCCTATGTGTCTGAAATCACCTCCGGTTAAATAAAATCCATTGCACAATTAAATATCCCAACGAAAAAAAAGTTCTCTCTTCAAAAGTCAATGTTTTTGGTTGTATTTTCGGCTGTGTTAATGACAACATTGCACACGTCACGTGATGAGCTAAACCATCGTAAGATGTTAAAAGGGGGTAAAGGTTGACAAATTTTGACAATCACATGTGTTGCAATCACAACAACGCGCGACCTTTCCGATCGTTTGAGTTTGGACAATAACATTAATTCGGAAACAATTAATTGTCAGTCTACTAAATTCTGTCACAATCACAATATATCACTGATTACACGGATACTCGTATTGCTTTTCACATCATCATTACCCCATAATTGTAAATACCCTGTACATGTATATTATGCATATTTTTATACACTTTATTACATCCCTGTCATTTATAAATTATAAGCAACTTTGTGGCTAACATTTATAATAAACACACTTTATAATTTTAGTTGGTCATCAAAATGGGGTCTAATCCCAATGCTTTGTGGTTATTAGTTCATGTTCAAAGTTATATGATTACCATATGAAATATCAAAAAAAAGGTCACCGCTTCTCAATAATTTTCATATTTTATTCACATTCTGACTGTAGAGCGTGTCAATAATATTCCAGATAATATTATGTTATTTTTGTTTATTCGACAGATACTTAAATCGAAACATTCATGACAAGAATAGTTCAGGATGTCTAAACATTTATCGTCTTTATAAAAATGTATTTAAAACAAAAAATCACTCGTCAAAAGAGGCATCGCAGATTGTGTGCATTATTTGGTCTTGTGTGTTAATTATTCAGACCATGGGAAAAACTTGTGCATCTGTGTTGCATACAGAATAACTCATATGGCATGGGAACTAGAATTCAAAACGTTGATTGGCTGGGGCATGATCGCGATCTAAGAAATACCATCGGAAAATTCCATTCTCCATGGATTTCAAAATGGAGTTGTACTTGTGATTAATACATTGCCCTGTGAATTTCAAAATGAAGCCAGGATTTTCAGAAATTAATTGTATTACCGAGACACACAATTATAAATTTTTAACAGTTTTTGCACAATGGAAATAATATACAAAGAGAAATAGAAAGAAATGTAACTATCTGTCAATAATTAAACCGATGTGCGGTATTATCTGTTGATATAAATAATGTTTGGTATTTTAAAAATAAAATAACGTTATATACATATTCAACGACTATTGATTTTGCCGAGGAAAATGTAAAATGCATTGATATTTACGGATTTACCTTGGCTACAGCAGATTGCCGAGGTTAATTGAAGGAAATATTAAAGATATTCAAAACGGTGAGATTCAAGGCCCATAAAATGAATGTCGTTATTTTTGTTCAGTACCTGTCTGTGTACAAAAGAAATATCCCACCCTACTCTCTAATAAAATAATTAATACAAGACGGAAACAAAATAACGGACTATTATTTATGTTTGTAAATTCCCAACCTCATTACTGCATGGGTCTGAGAGCAATAGCTTATTCATGGAAAAAAAAAATTAAATTGTCGTAAAAGAGCCAGACACCGCTACGATAGAGAAGCCTTGCGGCCACCCCTTGTACAAAATGATCTATCCCCCCCGATAAGTGACGTAATTAGCTTCCATTTTTTAAATTCTCGATGACCAAGGTTTGTGATGATTTCAATTTTACAAGAGAGAGCTCTTTCATTCGTTGGGATATTTAGTTGTACAATGGATTTTATTTAACGGGAGGTGATTTCAGACACACAGGTAAATTTATAATAACCAAAGTTAAAGTAGCGAAGTCTCTAACTCAATATCATCTAAAGTCTTACACGTTGAAAACGCGAATTATTTGTCAATTCAAATCAACATTGATGTTGTGATCTTACTAGGAAATGGTAGGCTTCTGATATCCAATATTTAAGACAAAATTGGTACACGAATCGTGTACCATAGTGCGTTTCAGCGTCATTTGTAACAAGTGACCAGAAAGAACGAGGCTAGACATATTCCACATCTCATGTCAAATGGTCACGCCATATCTTATCTGGAGAGCATCCGCAATAGACTGGAATAACCAGATGCTAGAAATTGCCATTCGGTTGAGATTCATGACGTATTTTGCTGCACGTAACTGATTTGAAATTAGAGTCAAAACGGAAACTATTGAATGTAAATCAATTTATATACAATTGGGCCTGCAGCCAAAATTTCTAGCGTGAAGTTCTGCTACATGGTCCTCCCAAATAAACAAACTATACATTTTTGGAAAGCTTATAACACCAGGAATACAAATCCAGAGAGTTCCAAGCAAAAAGTTTGCACTAACTTAATTTTGGGCCAGATGATAATTGTCAAGTAAATGCTATATTTATACTAGCAATATTGTGAAGTTGACATAAAATTAAATACTGGTGAAAACACCAGATGCCTTCATCCTATGCAAAGAATATGCTATTGGTTAAATTTTGATTTAAAGCAAAATGCAGAAACCATAAAGGACAGGGAAACATACAGAATTTCGGAAATCCATTTAATGGTAAAAGGAATTATTTCCCTTTATGGAAAATATCATTAATCATTGATAACAGTATTTTGTTTAAAGAATTTATTTGATAAACTGAATAGGATTTAACTACAGACTAGGACCTATATAAGTTTAACTTTTTTTCAGATAGGATTTGAGGCTAAAGGTTTAACAAATATTTAACCTGAAACATAGCATCTACAGAAATGTAGTTTTCTCTCTAAAATAGATATGGTCAAAACTAAATAATACTGTAAAGGGAGTGAAAATATTGTAATGAAGATATATTAGTAGAAATACTATTTTGGGAGAACTTATATCCCCCACCCCCCAACCTCCCGGATTCCATGAACCGTCCATTTGTCGGGCAATGTATTTCAGTTTTTTCGGGCACAAGCATCAGAGAATGGAGAATGCGACCATATCTCATGGAAATATAATTGTATAATTGTGTAATTAAGTAATAGTTATATACCTTGTTTTCAAGGTGTATGGGTTGATACACCGTCTATTTTTTGGCATATTTTAAGTTTCATCTAAATTGGTCAATATTTTAAGTTTCATCTAAATTGGTCAAAAATGTAAAATTATATTGAGTTTTCTTTTGCTTGGATGCGAGGATCTGTTACTCAATTATGTTGCTGTGTATTTATGGGTTTAAAGTTGTATTTAAAAAATAATCATCATTCATTTATTTCAGCCCGAAGATATGCAACATCAAATAGTGCGGGAAACGTTTCATCTGGTGTCTAAAAGAGAAGATAATGTTTGTAATTTTTTAGAAGGCGGAACGTAAGTGGATGTTGATTATACTTATAAAATGACAGTTTATAAATGTTAATACTAGTAGATAAAAAGTCTTGTCATGGGGAATCACTTTTATGACAAATAATTAGGTTCATTGTATCTTTCCCCAATTCAGATCTCTCGTTGCAAGTTGAAATTGTTCGAATAGCTGATTATATAGCTGAGTATACATGTATTAAGAGGGGTCAGGTTATTATTGATTGACAGGCCAAGTAATCAACGATATCATGTAAAAATAACAACTCTATCCAAATTGTAGGTCTAAAGATTGATTTACCCGAAAATAAGTATTATGAAGCCATTTAAATAAGAACTGATTCAACATTGTTGCTTTAAATTCTTTCAACATGAAAGATTTGTGCAAACATGAACGAAGTAGAGAATGTTTTCACAGGACCTCAGGTGTGTTGTAAAAGAAATGTGTTCTTGAAGAAGTAGCAAAAAACTCTTGAAAGCTTAAAGGAGCCAAACCTCTAACTCATTATTTTCCATAATATTTGAAATTAAAAATATGAATTAGAATTCGTCCATTTCAATCAATATTGATGTTGTTATTTTGCCGTTGTGGTTTCGAGAGCCATTTATAATGAACAGAGCAAATCATATCCTACAAGACACTGCGGCAGTAATGATTGATTCACAAAAAAATAATTAAAAAATGATGTCATTCAATTTTGACTGTTCCGGTATTTTAACGAACATAATTGATTAGTAATTACAATAATTATTTTTAAAAATTGCATATAAATCACTCCCATACACTCATATTACATTAACATGTACTTTTTGACCCATTATCGTTGATTTTATGGTTCCAAAAAATAAGAGCCATAGCCCTTTAAAGATAAGTTCCCAGAAAAGTATTTATCGGGTGGTTATTTCCAATGAAATTATGGCAATTTTGGTATATACATGTATGGAAAGTAGAGATATCCAATAAAATAAAACTAAGTACGAACAATCTAAACCATTAGACAAAATTCGAAGTCCTAAATAAATGGTATAGGCAAAATAGTGTAATAGGGCAAAATAGTGTAATCAGCAATCTTACTAGAAAAATACTAGATTCCCCGAAAAATACTCATGGAACGTATACAGAACAAAAATGTGTAAGGGTTCCCCTAATCGACAGCCCGATGATTAGGAATTTATGCATGGGTGATGTCAAAGGTCACACACGAACATTGAGCGCTTGATTTACAAGTTGATAAACTTTATGAAGAGTTAGACGTACAACACTTTCTGAGATAAAAATGACTGAAAGAGACGCGGGTAGTGGATAATCCGAGAATTTAATTAGGATTCGATATTTGTAATAAATAGTAAGCGATTAAAGACAACATCGTCTTATGTATGCATTGAATTCTCCTCTGACTTCCAAGGGAGGTAAGTCACGTGACGTAAACATGACCTGGTTTGATTGAATTTTTATAGCAGGGCATTCCTTCGCAATTACAATGTTGAAGCAAAATTATGACAAATTAATTAGTTTGAATATGTTTTTAGTCCATATATACCATTAAATCACCCAGTTTGTACGCAGGAATGTATCTTTAATCGTAAACATATTTTTTAACAGGTTAATTGGAGGATCTGATTATAAACTGATTTACAGACATTATGCTACTTTATATTTTGTGTTTTGTGTTGATTCATCAGAAAGTGAATTGGGCATTTTAGATTTAATACAGGTATTGTATTTTTCACTTAATTTTTAAAGACTGAAACTAGTACCCATTAACATATATTACATGTGCTGTTGACTAAAAGTATAATGGACAGATGCCGACCCAACCAATGTCAGATAGAAATCCGTTTAGCGAATCAGTCTTCTTCTGTTATATAGCTCAGTATAGGTAAGTAGATGAATCCCACTGCCTGGAACAAATCCTTAGTGTATGCAGGCCTTTTAAGGTCTCTTGTCTTTTTAATATGTAGCCATTATAATTGTTTTCCGTCACAGATAATTATAACCAGTTGACTTACATAATTTATTTTAGCAATTTCATATTTTCTACATCATATGTACAAAATGCTTTATGGGTCCAACAAATAGCAAAATTATTCTCAAAGAAATGCTTTACTTCTGTAAAACATTATTGACAATTTTTCTTTTCAGGTTTTTGTTGAAACACTGGATAAATGTTTCGAAAATGTTTGTGAATTGGATCTCATTTTCCATGTGGATAAGGTAACGATTGTTTTTAAGATATTTTATTTAGTAATTTAATAAGATTCTTTAGCACTTTGGATGATGTCTTCTTCTTACTTAGGGTTTTATGTCCACTGCCAGCTAGGAAGATATCGCTGACAATTAGTGCAATACATCCTAAGTTGTAAGGGGAGTAACTCCACATTTACAATGGTGGCAGACCACCATTACATATCACCGCCTTGATACCCACAAATAGTAGTTCATCTATTTATACCAATTCTCTCTCTCTTCCCTTTTCCATGGGGATTATTTGGTCTACAATGAAAGAAGAGGGTTTGAATTAACATTTTCTGCGAGGTTTTGGTAAATACTCATGACTAAGAGGTGGAAGGCTAACAGAGTAATGAGGTTGGCTACCGTGATATGTTTGGTGGATAGTTATATGTTTTTAGTATGCTACTACAAGTTTGTTTATCTGAAAATTTCATTGGTTAACCTCATACAAAATCTGGATCAAAGACATGATCATTTGTCGCTCTATCTGTAGTGAAAAGTGTTCAGCCCAACAGAAATTTGGTAAAAAGTTGAGCCAAGCAAAGAGACCAGAATTGACGAAGTCATTGGGAAAATTAGTGGTGATCTGCCTCCAAATACGGGAACCTAATCATGCATATTTCAGGAATTGCTGATATTATCAATCAATTATTGCCTTGTATATGCCAATAATTATACATGTATATCCTGAAATATTTATCAGTTGATAGAAATATTGTTTTAGATTGTTTGTTAAACTGTGATTACTCTAGGATGTAATATCAATTTTTATTTTTGTCCCCCGCCTTTCGAAGAAAGCAGGGGACTATTAAAATGGGTTCGTCCGTCTGTCTGTCCGTCTGTCTGTCCGTCTGTCTGTCCGTCCGTCTGTCTGTCCGTCACACTTTTTGGGACACAATAACTCTCTTCCTAATTGAGCTAGAATGTTCAAACTTGGTGTATGTGTTTATTAGGTCAATGCCTTGATGGAGTTCGAAGATGAGCATTTTCCGCTTAGGGTAAGCAGAGATAAGCAATTTGATTGGTTGATGCTTTGGGACACGATAACTCTCTTCCTAATTGGGCTAGAATGTTCAAACTTGGTGTATGTGTTGATTAGGTCAATGCCTTGATGGAGTTCGAAGATAAGCATTTTCCGCTTAGGGTAAGCAGAGATAAGCAATTTGATTGGTTGATGCTTTGGGACACGATAACTTTTAATTGAGCTAGAATGTTCAAACTTGGTGTATGTGTTTATTAGGTCAATGCCTTGATGGAGTTCGAAGATGAGCATTTTCCGCTTAGGCTAAGCAGAGATAAGCAATTTGATTGGTTGATACTTTGGGGCACGATAACTCTCTTCCTAATTGAGCTAGAATGTTCAAACTTGGTGTATGTGTTGATTAGGTCAATGCCTTGATGGAGTTCGAAGATGAGCATTTTCCGCTTAGGGTAAGCAGAGATAAGCAATTTGATTGGTTGATGCTTTGGGACACGATAACTTTAGTTCTAATTAAGTGAGATTGATGAAACTTGGTGTATAGTTTCATTACAGTAATACCTTGACTAAGTTTGATAATGAGCATTTTCTGCTCAGGGTAAGCAGCAATTTGATTGGTTGATACTTTGGGGCACGATAACTCTCTTCCTAATTGAGCTAGAATGTTCAAACTTGGTGTATGTGTTGATTAGGTTAATGCCTTGATGGAGTTCAAAGATGAGCATTTTCCGCTTAGGGTAAGCAGAGATAAGCAATTTGATTGGTTGATGCTTTGGGACACGATAACTTTAGTTCTAATTTAGTGAGATTGATGAAACTTGGTGTATAGTTTCATTACAGTAATACCTTGACTAAGTTTGATAATGAGCATTTTCTGCTCAGGGTAAGCAGAGCGATACGCAATTTGATTGGTCGAGACTTTGGAAAACAATAACTCTCCTACTTTGATTGTTAGACTATAAGTAAAGATATACTGTTTGATTGTTCAATACTTTGTAAAAGATAATTTGTGATAAATTTATATGTGTCCTCTAATTATTTTCCTATTTCGGCGGGGGACATCAGCCTCACTGTTGGCTTGTTTGATTTTGTATAGGTGTTATATATATTACAAGAGTTGGTAATGGGTGGTATGGTATTAGAAACTAATATGACAGAAATATTAACTAGAATAGAAGAACAAAATAAAATGGAAAAACAAGAGGTATAAATTCTACTCTCTCTCTCTCTCTCAGTATTTGGTTTCATTTACTTACATGTGCCACCAGTTGTTTAGTTTTTTTTTCAGATGTAACATACATTGTTGTGTGATTGTTCCAAAATGATCAAATTGTTTTGGTTTACTAGATTGTGATCTGAGGAAAATGCAATAAATAGGACATTAGACTATTACTGTATATTAGTTACAGATAGATTACAGTGACATATTCCTTGACTTTGAACTGGGTAGGATAAGATTGTTAAGTATTAATTTTATCTGAAACAATGTCTACATTGTCTAATGATGATAAAGTGTAAAGAATATTGACAAATTGATAGTTTGATTTAGTTTTATTAAGAAAGTAAAAAAAAAAAATTCTAAAAATGGTATTTGAGAGAAATATTCATTTCATGTAATTTTTAGGTTATTTTTGATAGGGTTGTAACATCACAACATGGGAAATGAAATGAAATGGGGTTTAACGTCCTACTGTTCTGCTCCTATACTGGGCTAATGAAGACGGGCATACGCCAATCAGTGTGCTATATTGAATTCCAACTGCCAAGGGATCTTTTACATGCATTTCAATGTATACACAGGACCTCGGTTTTTTCGTTTCATCTGAAGGACTAGACAGCTGTCCTTGTCAGGCCCTCCGTTCTGCACCACTGACAAGGGGAAACCACGTCGGAAAATCACGATGAAGCACAACATGGGTGATCTGTAAGAAAGTATATCATATGAAGAACAATTATCTGAAAAACATATTATAGTCATAAACAAATCATGACCTGTTTGAGTTCGGGAATAACTGACAAACAGCGACAGGCAAATAACACTTCATTACACTTTTCCATAGTTATTCCATAGTGCAGCTATGTTATTCAAAAGATGTACAATGCATAATTGTATAAATGCTATATCAACACTATATAGTGTGGTACTAAAACAAAAGTAAAGCATAAACTGCTAATAAGAAATCATATCTTCTAGACCAATATTTCTGTTTATGATTTTTATGATGTTTTTTTTTTTATTATCAGGCTGGTATAGCAGCTGCTCCTGCTAGAGCTGTTTCTGCTGTGAAAGAAATGAACATTCCACAAAAAATAAAAGACATTAAATTACCAGATTTACCATCTATTGGAAATTTAAAGTTTTAGTGTTCAGTTAATTAGATTATTATTTAAACATGACTTTTGGATATTTGAAAATTCCATTGGTGCGAATAGTGTGGATACATCAATTTGGTTGATGCCAAATGGAACATTTGAAAGGAAGAACAAGATGGTTTTACCAAAAATGATACTCTGAAACTATATCTTTAACTTTATGGAATCAAGAATTGTTGCTGATTATTTGGATTTTGTTTTAGGGGTTTTATATTAGCATAAATGATACAAATAATTGGTAATCAGCGCATTTGAATATTATAATATTGATATTCAAAATGCTTGTTGCATTTGAAAAGTTTCATTTCGATTTATTAAAAATATTGTTTCAGTTCAGGCCGTGTTGAATTGATTCCTTGTTTCTCCTGCCCACTCTGGCAAACATGTGCGGTAGTGGGTTTCAAAACAAAATGTTCTAGCATGCTGTAATACTATCTAGTCTAAGGGTGATGTACTTTTTACTTATAATATAATCTTAATTAGTTGTAATAACCCTTTACTGTGAAGGTAAAAGACAAAGACAATATTTAACTTCAATAAATTTAATAACTAAAATTCAATACCAAGTAGCTTTGTTTTAAGTTTTTAAAATATAAAATAACCGTACTTTGATAGAGTGAATTCACAATCAATTAAGGTGACCTAATTCTACTAATACCGTAATGGCACCACAATAAATATTGTGGCTCGAATTGAAAGGCGAAAGGCTCATTGTATTGTGTATTTAAACATTTAAAAAACAATGTCGAAATGTCAAAAAAATTTGGTCAGGATATTTTTTTATAATTATAATTTTTAGCGTATAGTCTGGATGTGAGAACAAATTCTATGGGGTATAAGATGTCCTTCACATGTGGTTAATAATAGAATAAATGACATATGCACAGGTGTGAATTGTAGTTGTGTTTTGATATTCAATCACAGATATTTTAGAATTGGAATTCAACACATTTCTCAACGTCTTATTTTAAATATAAAGCATTGAATTTGGGTACATTTTCTACTTGGTAGAATCCACATGGTTATGAATCTTCAAGTCACTGACACGGCCAAAGCAGATTCAGGATTCGCAAGAATTTTAAATCCTGCCGATGTCAAAGAAATAAAACTGTTTTAGGCCTATATCATGATATTCATATGGATCAAAATAAGGTCGAAATGATTTGAAAGTATTTGTGTACCTATGGATAATGTGTGATGTGGATTATTAAGAGTGACAAGTACTTGGTATCCCAATCAGATTCAAGTCACGATAAACAAATCCATGTACATTATTCATCTTTAAAGAAATAATAGTGCCGCTCGTCATTTTGTAAGTCGTGCGTAATTTAGTACACTATATGATTGGAAACTACATGAATAATAATGACGTATATGGTAATGTTCGCCAATGAAAAAATGGTAACTCAGGGTCACAGTATGATAGTGTCTGTCTTTATAATAATCTTTCTTATATTTTTTTAGTAGTTTTTAACTTTTTTTTTTTTTGTGGGAGCGAGAACAAACAAAGAATCAATTTAACACAGCCTTATGCTCACTGGCGATTGTTATCCACTATATTTTAGAGATATTCATATCTTTTTCCCTTAACAAACAATCACAATTTATTCCATTCCGAATTATATGATTTATATATATTGGGTGTAATGTAGTGGGTGTTTCTAAAATGCTCCAAATATTCAGTTGGCACATGTATTCTTGCAAGAAATATTTGTGTTTACTTAATAGTCATCAGTTGAAGGATATAAAAAGATGCATTTCTGGAACATTCAGTAGGTAATCCCCAGTTTGTTCAAAGGGAGGTAATACAAAATAATATAAATGTACCATAGTACGATTTAAAATCAATATTTCAAATACATAATTCTCACACTTTATATATGTTGAAATTTTATAACTAATTCATACTGAGTAACAGATGTGGTTATATTGTAATGTAAAGAAATATTGAAATATTTTCGGGTTTTCAAGATTATTATGCATGAAAAATATTTCACTGATTATTGTTTTGTTGTTTAGTGTGATAAATGAATGGTTGTTGATTCATGTTGTATTACATAGATTGTTATCAGATATAAACATGGTTATTTTCATGGTTGACTGGTGAAATGAGTGAATGTTATAGATTATTATTTCTATTCGATGTCGGTACTGAAGTATTTATTTAATCCGTATTTAACTTACTTATTCAGTATGAGAAAGTTCACATTTGATAGTGTTGATACTGATATGAACGCATGATTCAATATAATTTGCATATCTGGTTTGTTTTTAGGACAAGAATAAATTTTGACCTCTATCAAACATTGATTTTTAAGTATCTGTACATAGTGTATTTGTGCATCAATGAATAGAAATATTTGAATTGCTAAATCAACAGTAAGCATTTCCACATAGGGTATATACATAACAATATGGGCTATTGTAAAAAATAAAGATTATAAAATGTGAATAAATAATATGTTGAATATATTACTTTTTCTTTTTGCTACGAAGAGTGATCCTTCTTATATTATTGGATCAGTGTTCAGTTTGAAATGACAGAATTCAAGGATTGTTTAGAAGTTGCACTGGTGGCTTGTTTTTTTTTTTATAAGATTACATCTTATATAGAGACTATAATCGAATCAAAGGTAATCTTGCTAAAACATATGGGACCAACGTTAATTTAGTTTTGACACGCATAGGTCGTAGGGTTTGGTAGCTCGTAGACCAATCACAAGTAACCGGGTGGAAATTTTGTATATGCAGGACCAAAAGTCTCTACAGCCAGTCTGCGATCTTCTAGTCTTACACACAGGTTTACTAAAATTTCCCCAGTAGCCTGTACAGTGGGTTGTGAGCTAGGCTTTAGCTAAATAAAGAAATGATAATCTGCAATTGTTTCATTACAAGTGAGCACATTCTTTAAATGTGTTTATTCAGGCCTTGGTTGTGCTTAAATAGGTCAAAATTGAATAAAGGTCTTTACAGTACTGGGGCCGTTGATTAGGGTATATAAGAAAGAAACCCATCTATTTTCCAAATTTTCAAATAGTAAATTATGAATGTGCTTTGCGTTATCTTTCTAAGAACATTTTGACCTTTTAAGCTCAAGGATATGATGCAATGCAGTACAAAATTCTTGGTGATATTTATTTAAAAAGCCAGATAGGCTACTGGCCTGAAATTATAAACAAGAAAGTGTTGGGATTTGTCATATGTGGGGCTTCTTAGATTAGACTGATGTGAAATAAACAATATTTTATATCTTGGTGAATGCAGTAGTAGCAGCTGATGGTGTTTATGTCTGCATCTGTAGTGGTGAAAGTTTGTTCATGGGGCTTATAATGTCCGCTTCCACCAGGGTGCTATCGCACACAAAAGTGATGAGTGTGTGTGACATAGCTTTATTTAAAGGAGCTAAATCGCTAATTATATTTGGGACCTAGAAATTGACATAAATGGGTCGCAAGTCCCAACGCATGTAATAATGTAATATGAATGTATATAATATAAACCGATTTACATTCAATCGTTTCTGTTTAAACTCTAATTACGAATCAGTTATGTTCGGCGAAATACGTGAGAAGTCTCAATCGAATGGTAATCTCTAATATCTGGTTATTACAGTCTACACTGATAGTCAGTGATAGTATTTATTGTGCATGCTCTCCAGATGTCACCGTTTGACATGACTTGTGGAATATGTCTAGCCTTGTGTTTCGAGTCCCTTGTTGTTACAAATAGCACTGAAACACATTGTTATGGTAGGCCCTACACGATTCTTGTATGGTAAAACTAAAATATTTGATTTTTCTTAAATATTGGATATCAGAAGCCTATCATTTCCTGGTAAGATCACCACATCAATGTTGGCTTAAATTGATAAATAAATTGTGTTTTCAATGTCAAAGACTTTGGATGATACTGAGTTAGCTACATTAACTCTCCCTGACAATGATATTAGGCCTATAAATATAATAATAACAGATGTACATTTACAGATTGAAAATTGTTGTTTATTACAATTTTAGTGTCCAATACATTTAATCTATGTAAGAATATGATATTATGGACACGTTGATTTAATTAAAACTGTTCACATTAAAGGAGCTAAATCGCTAACATATGGGACCTAGAAATCGACACAAGTGGGTTGCAAATCATATAATACTGTAATATGAATGTATATAAACTGATATACATTCAATGGTTTCCATTTTTACTCTAATTTCAAATCAGTTATGTTCCGCGAAATAAGCCTGCAGTCTCAATCGAATGCAAATTTCTAGCGCCTGGTTATTCCAGTCTACACACACTGTTTGGTTTGGTGCAATATGTCTAGCCTCGTTCCTCGAGTCTCTTGCTAGAACTGGGGCTGAAACGCATTATGGTAAACGATTCGTGTTTATTTTGTCTTAAATATTGGATATCAGAAGCCCATCTTTTTCCAGTAAGATCCCAGCATCAACAATGTTGATTTAAATTGACAAATAATTTGTGTTTTCAATGTTGAAGATTTTGGATGATATTGAGTTAGAGACTTAGCTACTTTAAGAAAGAAGCATAAACAAGGTATATAATAATAATAATAATAATAATAAAAAAAAAATCTATATAAAATATGCAACGTTAAAATGGAGTGTACACAATGGCGCTGGCGGCCCTTTAAATATTCGCGCTCTTTTAAGACTACATTACGTGCCTATATGCTGACCAATCAGGTAACAAGCACCTTTCATGATTGACAGAGATACCGGAAGTAGTTGGTTGTTGTTCTCCGGTTTGATTATTTACTTTTACTTGTTTACTTGGGGAGATAAGTGTCAGATTAGTGTTCATGGGTGTAGTAGAATCACATTAAAAATAGAACAAAAATCGTGGCGTCGATCCCAGAAAAAACAGTCGGTAAGTTTCATTATGTTTATTAAGTATTAACGACATCTGATCTAAGATATTTATTCACAAACAAAACTCTTCTTGAAACTCAAGCACAATAATTGAGCGAATTAGGGCCTATCTTGTGTACAGGCCTTCCTGTACCTGGTTATTATTTTCATTTCTTATCTTATCAGTCACAGAGGAATACGTACATATCGTCATATTATGCGCGTGAACTTTTTTGCTCAGCCAGCCAGTCTTCCTCAGTGGACGCTTACAGTTATTCGCTTGATTTGATCATAGGTTACCTACGGCTACAGTATTACTATTATTATTTATAATTAATGTGTTTTGATTTTTATGTATCTTTTTCTTAGTCTGTGAGTCCTCTCCTTTTCCATTTTGTTGTTATATATTAAATGTGGGTTTGATTGTTCTGTACTTACCATAATCTTCGTTGGTGAGTAAAAAAAATACATTTCGATTTGCAATGATTTGAGTTGAGTCTTCAATATTTTAAAACAAAATGTCAAACAAAGTGAAAGTAAAGACTAAGACAAACTAAGACATTTTTTTTATATGATTAAAGTATTAGTGGAATACTGAAATCATAAGGCAACTGGTAAAAATTAGTCACAAATGAAAATTGATAGTTTATGCAAACGCTGAGACAATATTTCATCAGTAGATTTAGATAAAATTTGAGGAAAAATTTATAGTTTATGATATAATGTAAATGGGCAACCGTGAAAATGTCAACCCAAGTGGTAAAATTGAAATATTAAGATACACCAATGTTTTTGGTACCAAAAAAAAGCATTTAAATGCTATATTTTAGTTACTCCTGTTCTTTTTAGTCAGACTGAGCTTATTTACATATAACGGACATCCCAGTCAAACATTGTGATTTTTACCATTTCGCTTTAATGTCCCAGTTTACCATATTCCTAAATCTTACTATGTAAAATATTAATGAAATTGTGTTTTATATATGATTTTCCTGTAAATTAAAATCAGAATGCTGATAATAGACCATGTTTTCAAGTAGAAAATCTGACATCAATGTACCGGTATGTTATTATATTGATGTCAGTCTGTTACTAAAAATTCAAAAAATTGTCTACAGTAATTTATTTTTTGTCAGAACCAATAAAAATGTGAATATCTTCTGAATTCAACCCATCTTTTATTTATATATAAAAAGAAAAGAGACATGTCACTTAAATTTCTCCCCCTAACCCATGGTAACAGACTGACAGTAACAGACTGACATTTCTTGAGAATTCTGGGTAATTCAAACAGGAAGTAAACAAACTTTTTGGCGGGAAATTTTTGGTGGAAAAGTGGTTTTGAGCCTACATCATTTAATACAAAAAATGCCACTCTCTAATGCTGAAAAACAAAAAAGATATCGTGAAAAACTAAAAGCGGAGGGGAGATACATTTATTGTAAAGAAAAGGACCGCATACGACATGAAACAGTAAGATCACAGTTGTCAGCTAAGCAGAGAAAAGAGCTGAAAGAAAGAAATAAATTTTACAAACAATTACAGAGAACTAAAGAGAGGGTACATGTACTAAATAATTCATACAGTAATAATCCAACGGATGTTCCTTCCACCAGCACACCATTTTCATCCAGACAATCACTAGGTAAAGCAAGAAAAAAGTTAATAAAATCTCTACCTACAGAACCAGCTAAGAAGTTTGCAATTTTAACGTCTGTTGCTAAATCATTTGGATTGGAGTTGAAAAATGTTAGTTCAAATGGGCCTAATAAAACATCTAGAAGCATTGATAACGAAGTGAAGGCAAAAATTGATAAATTTTATAATGGTGATTCTGTGTCATGGCAAGCACCTGGCATTAAAGATTATGTTATAGTAGAAAATAATGGTCAAAAAGATAAAAGACAAAAACGATATATTTGATGATTAACTTGAAAGAATGTCACATGCTTTTTTTGCAAGAGTTCCCAGATATAAAAGTCAGTTTTTCCAAGTTTGCAGAACTCCGTCCAGCACACGTCTTACTACAGAAACAAATACCCCACAATGTCTGTTTATGTAAAATTCATGAAAACATTCGTTTTCTATTGAAAACTTTAAATGCACATGATGGCCACGTTAGTAATGAATTTAGAAGTTTTATTGACCAAGTAGTATGTGACCAGTCATCAGAACATTGTATGTTTGGAGAATGCGAGAACTGCCCAGGTATTGATCATATAAAAATATCTACAAATCAACTTGATACAAAGTGTAAATGGAATCAGTGGACAAATTCTGTGGATACAATACAAAAAGAAGAAATAACTGGGACTGTGGGAGATTGTTTTGAAATTTTGAAAAGTAATTTACCAGTATTCCTTAGGCACACATTTATTAAGCGTCAACAAGCACATTATTTTAAAGCATTGCATGGAAATCTTAAACCTAATGAAATTTTTATTCAGCTTGATTTTTCAGAGAATTTTTCTTGCTTTGAACAGAATGAAATTCAATCTGCTCATTGGAGCCACAGCCAGATTACAGTATTTACTGCAGTTGTCTGGTTTGTTCAGAATTCAGAAATTACTACCTCATCCTATGCTTTCATATCTAATAGCTTAAACCATGACAAATGTTCTGTACATGTTTTTTCTCAAAATATATTGTCTGACATGAAAACGAAGGTAAATTTTGATTCTGTCCACTTTTTTTCTGATGGGGCTGCCAGTCAGTTTAAGCAAAAATACAATTTTTGTAATTTAGCGTATATTGATGATGTTACAGTTGCATGGCAATTTTTTGCCACATCTCATGGTAAGGGGGCTGTTGATGGTATTGGTGGCAAAGTGAAGGGCAAAGCTCGACTGGCTGCTTTAAGTGGACAGAGCATCAGTAATGCCAAGGAATTTGTTAATGTTGTCAATCAAATTTCTTCTAAGATAAATGTAAAATATGTAGATAAAATTGACATAGATAAAATAAAAACTACACTAGATAAACGATGGAATAATTCTCTGGCAATACCAGGAACACATAAATTGCATTGTGTTAAGGTACTAGAGGTCAATTATGTAACTTATTCCGAATATTCTTCATCGACTAGCTGGGTTAACCACTACTTTTTCTCAAAAAATGCATCAAAAGTCTGCAACCTATCTGTGGAAATAATTTTAGAACGTTATTATGCTGTGTATTATGACAACCGTTTTTATATTGGTAGAGTTGTTTCCACTAGCATGAATGAGAATATGGTTACCATAAAATTTCTGCATGAAGAATTCCCTAACCAGTATAAGTGGCCAGCAAAAAATGATATTGCTACAGTTGAAACTAAGTTTTTATTTTATGGTCCTTTAGTATTACTGGGTAATGGGCCATTTACAATTCCTGAAATTTCTCACATTCATCAAAAGTATAAGGATATTTGTAAGTCCAATCAGAATTTGCATTAGCTACGTATTATCTGAATGTCAAAGTAAATCAAAGTCATACCTGGAATGTTTTTTCATTTATTGTTTTATTTATAGTTGCGATTCCACATTTATCATTGCAATGATTATTTCTAGCTGAAACTTAAATCCAGCGGTATTCAATTTCATCTTGACAGAATCGATGTTTCCAGACGTGTCCAATTGACTGGTGTGAAAAAGTCTGATGGCAATGATAAAGAAATTTGCATAATACTTATTGTTTTCTTTTCCTTTGTAGGCCTTTTGGCCGCTTATCTAGTTTTGTTATGTGAACTTATAGTTATAATGAAATGATTTCTATGCTCCAATTATTTTCTGGTGATAAATTAATTCATTATTAGGGTGACCCACCATAAATAAATATCTCCATATATCTCGACAATTTCGCTACAATATTTATATATATGCCAAGCCTCAAATCAGTTTCACACAATTATAGTCACTAAATAAACGATCATGTTGTACTTAATAAGCTATGACCATTAATCATCTATAAATAATAGACTGAAAACTGGTTCCATGTGTCGTCCATAACATCCAGACACTTTTGAGTAAAAGATAGGTTACGTGCCCTTGTTTTGAAATTAGTTTCGCTTAACCAGTCTATCGACCATTCTAGGGCTGATTGACAGGTCGGGATAATCAAGACTACTTTTTTACGAAACATAACAGAAAGCTAGAACAAGAAATTGAATTTAGAAATGAGCACGTTAGCTAGCTCAACAATTGTTTTAAGAAGCTTGTAAAAGTAAAATGAAACTACTGCTAGTATCATGTTCCTGTCTAACCCGAGTGTTTCTGAGATATTATTTGTACTAAACCAAAAGATGCCGCTCTTAACGGTACAGTTAATGATAAAGCGATTTAAAAAATGAAACGAACGTAATTTCTAAATCTGCTGTAATAACCAAGAAGCTTAATTTTACTGCTATTCAAAATCGTCAACAATAATTTTTTTACGGCTGTAATAGTTGATAGATTTGTAGGGAATTGCACGTGCCATGGCTATTTATAGTATCATACTGTCAGAAAGTTGGCCTCGACACGGCGAATTTGCACGCTTCAGTGGTAGTCTCGAACTTTCAGCGGTTGACTGTATTTCTGTAGGTGCGTAGGTCACCCTATCATTATTTATTATTTTTGTTAAATTTAAACTAAATTATTTTATTTATTATGTTTTTTGTTTCACATAAATATTTAAACTTATTTAATTTTATTCATAAAAGATTTTGAGGAAAAATTGACTTTGTTTTTTTTAAAATCATCTTCAATCAGAAGGTGTCAGTCTGTTACTGACCATGTCAGTCTGTTACCAATGGTAATTTCAATTCTGATCTTGAAAATGATTGCCACAAGTGAAAACTATTCATATTTGTTCAAAGGATACCCATCTATGATATCAATTCAAAATATAAAGTTTTTGTAAATCTACAAACTTCACGGGAATTTAACACCGAGTAAGTGTGCCTTCATTGTTAGGTTGCGAGAATGTCAGTCTGTTACCATGACTTTGAGAAGCAGTGAATGAACAATTTTTTAAAAGTATGTAACACTGTTTTGTATTAAA